TGACCCCTCTCGCAATCGGTATATTATTTGTTTCCATATCGTTCACCTTTACTAATGCTTTCTGGTTCCAGTATATAGCCTTAATAAACTCAATGTCTTTTTTGTCTAAATTGATATTTTTAATTTATCGGTCAAAGGCCTTCAAAGCTTCTCTAAAGTCTATAAAGCATACATATGCAGCCTTGTTATATTCTCGACATTTCTGTAAGAGTTACCGTCAACGCAAATAATGTGTTTCTTGTACCCATGCCTCCTCTGAAGCCTAACTGCGTTTGATCTATCTGCTCCTCACATTTCTTATAAATTCAGTTTTGAACAATTTTCAAGGAAATTTTTAAAAGGTGGCACATTAGACTTATCAATCTGTAGTCATTACATGATTTGGGATTGTTGTTTCTTGGTAGAGGTAAAAATATCGATTTAAGCCATTCCTCCGGAATGTTGGCCTCTACATATATGTGGTTGAGAATTCGGGTGAGTCTCTTTATACTATCGTCATCTAAGGCTTTTAACAGTTCAACTGGAATTTGATCAGGACTCGGTGCTTTTCCTTGTTTTGCATTCTGTAGGGCATGCTTTACTTTTGAGAGCAAATTTTGTAGATATTGTTCTTCTTCACCTATATCTTGTTCATTTTCCCTCTCGTTATGGAACAGATGGATTATATATTGTTCCCATACTTCCTCTCGTATGCTTTCTTTAGTAAGTATTCCTCCATTATTATCTCTTGTAATGAGTGTTCTTCTTTGTCTGGTGTTGTCTGTAAGTTCATTTTTTTATGTAAGTTTGAGGTGCCATGTTGCTGCTGAGTTCTTTCCAGTTTTTATTCTTGATGGTTTTATATTTATTTCCATTTTTATTTTTCCAGATTGGATCTTACTTATTTCTTGAAAACAGTTAGGAATTTGGCTGTATTAGTTGAGATTATTAAATTATATTCTTCATCAATCTGGTTAAATGTGTATAACTACAGTATTGTCTTCGTAGCATAACATATTAATGTTTCTATTTCCTATGTTTTGCCAATATTCTTACTATAATCGAACAGGATTGTACTCAAGCGGCCACCTTGTATCTATTAATATTTTTTTAGTTAATCTTCCTTTAGTTCCTGTTTTACCTATATATTACGAAATTAAAGAAGAAGGTACTTAAGCAATCATCTTCTCTGGTCTAATCCCTGTGTCTTCTGTTAGTAATTCGTCAGTTTTTATTTTAGTTAAATAGCCTGTATTGTTTTTCCATAATACTTATTATTTTTGGAGATATATTTTTGTCTTTAAGTGCCTTACTACGTCGTTAAATCTTATTTTGTCGAATGCTTTTGTTAAATTCACGAAGCATATAAACGCGAGACTATTGTAATAAATAGTCTATGATTGTTTACTTGACTTGCACTCCTTAGGACCATACGAGATCTGATATCCTCTGATCAGGAGTCTTCTTGTAGCCTAATAATAAATTTTTGTGGTCCTCTTGACGGCCACTTCTCTCAGTGATGTTTACTGAAGCCTTTCTTGGATGGTTACCTATGTAACTCTTCCCTGATATGAAGATCTTTCGATGAATCTGTATGTGCGCCGTCTCGGTTGTTTTCATATTATTTCAGTGAGTTCTTATCGTTAGAATTCCTTATTGGAACTGCATACATGCTCTATCGCAATCCTGGTGTTACTGTATCTTCTTGGCCTGTAATAGAGGTCTGGTCCTGAATATATAAAGTTGGATCATTTTCTTTATCACTGATACCTTCATGTGTATTTTTGGTGAACGCAAGTCTTCTGTCGAGGTGAACTCCCATGTATTTAACGACTTCTCCTTCGATTCTGTTCCCTCTTATTCCAATTTTTTTCTTGGTGGTAACTAACCTGCTGATTGAAAATGATAAATTAGGTCTTTTCTGCGTTGATTTTTATTTCCTATTTATTCGAGAATTGTGGTATTTTTTCTCAGTGGTTTTCTAGTCTCCATATGATTCTGTTTTTGTCCTTACCTGCTGTGCAGATTGCTATGTCGTCTGCCCAAAGGGCTGTGTTGGTTCTTACATCAGTGGGCGTATCTGAAGCAAAAATGTTGTATAATAAAGAATATGAGTAATAAGGGGAGTCTTGTTCGCTCCATCTTGAATATTAATGCTTTATTTCAAATTGTGGCATAGGCTTTGTGGCTTTCTATGCTCCATATGGTCATTCCTGTTTTTCTTTTCCTGTTAAAATTAGTTTTTATATCACTGATGACTCCTGTTAGTTGCAGCTTAATTTTTACCGTTTCTGAATGGTTTCTGGTGTTGGCTAATTCTTCCTCTTACTGCTTGTGTATGAAAACTTGTAAATGTTAGTTTCCTCAATGTTTTTGTAGTGATTCCAGTAGATATATTAGTCTGTAGCTTTCTGATTAATTTCATCTTTTCTTAGATTTAGGATTGTTATCATTTTCGCATGTTTCCAGTTGTTTGGAAAGAATTAGATACATTGTCCTAGTTCATTTTATACCAATTCTAGAAACAGGGTTTGCCACTTTCACTATCCACAATGTTCCACAGATGATATTTTACACCGTGGGTGTCATTGTCCTACTCAATTCCTATCCTCACCTCCAAGAAGTGTGATCTTGATCACACGGGTAAGCCCCGGTAAACCTAAGCAACCCTATTGGAGATTGGGTAACCAACCCTAATGGAAGGTAGGGTCAGGGCGGACGAGGAAGGGAAAAAGCATAGCTTGTTCAGCAGCTATAGCCAACAGCCCTAGCACTGGATTCGGGGTGCAATAGGCCGATAACCTGTTCACCTTCAAACTCAGCTATCACGAATGCTACGATCAATGAACTAACCGGACGGACCAACCGACTACGACCAAAGCTACAGAATAAGGACTTAATGATGGATTTGTGACTGGGAACCTGGAATGTCCAAACCATGCTGCAGGCAGGCAAAATGCAAAGTATTGCACAGGAACTATTGAAGTACGAAGTAGACATAGCCGCCCTCCAAGAAATCAGATTGAAACGGCATGGTTGCACAAATAAAAAAGAATACAGTATGTACTACTGTGAAGCAGAAAGACAAGGAGACTTTGGAGTGGGTTTACGGTAAACCATAAGTGCTGTAGGTCACTTTTGGGTCTAAAATACATCTAAGGGGAAAATTTCATAATATTACAATTATTAATATCCATGCCCCAACAGAAGCAGCAGATGAACCTGCTTTCTAAAATAAAACGCACAGAAGAGAAATGCAGTTATAGTCCTGAGTGATATGAACGCGAAGCAGAAAATTAAAGTAACATTAAATGAAAGAGGAGAACAAAACAACATTGAAGAAGAATGGAATGTCATCCAAACGACAATTACAAATAAGGCAAGTAGGAATAAGGCAAGGAGTCAGCAAAAGATTGGAAAGTAGGAATCATACTTCCTATGTACAAAGGGGGAGACAAACGACTCTGAAAAAATTATGGGACATAACAGTTTTAAACATCGTCTACAAGATATTATCAGGAATTATATACAGCCGCCTGGAATCGTTTTCGAAGGAGATGATTGGTGAATACCAATGTGGCTTAGACCACAGAGGTCAACTATAGGCTAAATACATATGTTAAGAAGTATACATGAAAAATGTGTCGAATATAACATACCTATTGACAACTCGTATATCGATTTCAAACAGGCGTTTAATGGAGTAGATCGACAAAAGATGTTAAAGCAACTATGTATATTAGGAATACCCAATAAGTTGGTTCAACTTATACGAATGACTCTGGAGGGTTCCAAAGCTATGTTGAGAATAGATGGAGATATGACGCAGGCCTTTGATATTGAAAATGGAGTTAGACAAGGTGATGCTTTATCAACAACACTTTTTCATCTAACTTTAGAAGCTGTTGTTAGAAAACTGGATATAAACGGCTGTATTAATACAAGATCAATGTAAATATGCACATATGCGAATGATATTGCCATAATAAGCTGCAACAAAAGGGTATTAAGCGAAAAAGTTATAGAACTGAAACGAGAAGCTGCTATGTTTGGTCTATATATAAATGAAAGCAAAACAAAATATATGGAGTGCACAAAATCGCATCAACATCAGAATTTGAATTTAGACAACCATACTTACAAATATGCCTCCACTTTTACCTACATAGGCTCAAGAATAAATGACAACAACAACATCAGTCACGAAATACAAGCACGGATTCTTAGCCGTAATAAGTGCTTTTATACATACAAAGACTTAATGAAAAGTAAGTTACTGGATCGTGAGCCTAAGCTTAGAATCTACAAAACAGTAATTAGACCAATGGTCACATATGGATGTAAAACGTGGACCCTCTCAACCACTGATGAATCTCAACTGAGAATATTTGAGCGCAAAATACTAAGGAAGATATTTGGACCAACCCAATGCAGCGATGGTTCGTGGGGAATTAAACTGAACCACGAGCTGGATGAACTAATGCAGACCGCAGATACTGTTAGATTTGTAAAGTCACAAAGCCTAAACTGGTTTGGTCACCAAAATAATCGAGCTGTAAAAGTAGTCCAGAGATGGAAGCCCCAAGGAAACAGAACAAGAGGAAGGTTCGTAAAAGATGGATAGACGACGTAGAGAGGGATCTTAAAACCATGAACATCATACAGTGGCGAAAGAAAGTATCCGACAGGACAAAATGGAAGAGCATTGTTAAGCAGGCCAAGACTTACAAAGGGTTGTAGCGTCATTAGAAGAAGAAGAAGAAGGCTGTCATTGTGGTTTTCACCAGTATCCATGACAAGGAAGAAGTAGTATACCCAGCAACATTATATCCTAGAAGTGAGTCATCGGTTTGGCAAGTCGATCTATCTCCAGATGCACCCGCTGAGATGCACCCATGGATGTATCTTTAAGTATAGAACTCTTTAGGTTGTTATAAATGCCTCTATTAATAATTTTATTTATTTTATAATATCTTTAAAAATTGAATGACCAACTATTAAATCACGAATGTTCATTACAGTGCATAAGCCGGAACCTGCCATGCCTAGAAGAAAAAAATATCCCGATTTAGCCTACCGACACACCGAGTTCATCTCCAGTGACCGTGCAAATGATTTTAATAGTGCAGATAGAGCTAGGGTAAGTTCATAATCGTTATTAGTATAGTATTTAGATTTAATATTACTTATAGCACGCACTGCAAATTTAGTATTGTTTGGAACGCGACTGCTAAAAGTATTATACAAGGAGTTCACACCGCTAGTACCTGCTTTAAACTTACCGCATATGTTTTCCAGTTTCTTTACTATCTGGATACATAAAGTGTTTATAGTATTGATTTTAAATATATAGTATTTTTACCATCCTATATTTTCTAACGATAAAACGAAAAATCATTTTATATGTAATTAGATATAAAAATCTAAAAACTTTTAGTATGACAATATTATATTCTCTAATGTCTTTACACTACCATTTTCTAAAAGATTTGTTTCTCAAATAAAGTAACGACAACATGAAATAAGTATCTAATGACATTCCCACTATTTCTTACTTCCACCGTTACTCTAAGAAATTCACAAAACACAACTTTTTAACACAAAATACAAACATTTTGTAACGTGTGCGTGATTAAAAAAATTGCCGGAGTAGAACTATGACTTAATAGACTGGAGCCATTACTATTCTTAAAAAAACTAAGTCGTATGTCGTTTAACAAAGTTGATTGGCTTTCTGGGGACATTTTCCTTACCTTCGAAGGTGTAAGAGTAACTGCTTCTAGGAATTTGAGTTGTTTGAAAAACAATGCCTTTTTCGCAGATATGACAGTTCTCAGTGTTTGATTTGCTCACCGTATGAAGCTAATACCTAAGAGGACAGGGTTCGTTGAGAAGGGTGCCATATATGTATCTTTTTATCATTTTAAACATTTACTTTAACGGTTAAGGTTATAAATTTAAAATCAAATCTGCTTCTGTCAGTTCTGGTGTATTAAGCGACTGAGATATTGTTCTCCTTCTCGAATTTCTCTTTTTAAGTAGCTTCTAATTTATTCTAAAAAGTATTCCGGGTCTAGGAAACGTAAGTTTACTCCTTCTTTGACCAACTTCTTAGCATCCTCATTTGAATTGATTCCTATATGAGCTGTCACCTACATCCAAGGTTATCTACTTCCTTAGGAAATATTTACTTTGACTTACGAATAAAAGACTTTAAAGTTGCGTTGTCGTCTGAATGAATATATACACTTGTCGTACGAATATCTTTGCTGATGTCCTCCTGGGCTCTGATGCCTATGGGGAGTGTTCCCACCTGAAAGATAGTTGGCAAGCTTCCATAAGATTTTAAGAGCTACTTCCAGACTTACTCCCACTTTTACAATTATATCTGTCTTAGATTCATCCGTATAATTTACAAATAGATATATATATATATATATATTATATATATATATATATATATACAGGGTGAGTCATGAGGAACTTTACATACTTCTACCATATGTAGAGTCCCTCAGAGAGCATATCATGTGGCCACTAAAAAATGTCAACTCCTCTTCTTTATTAATTAACAGGGTGATTTGTGTAATTGACCATTTATTTCATTTTACTGTAGTGTTTATACGGCTCATTTGATTTTTTTAATTTTTGCATGATACAGTACACTACTATCAAGCATTCGACTGGTATTAGCTAAACTAAAAAATTCCAGGACTGGCTTTGGAAAAATTAATTTAGGCATTCGTATTAAATATTACACCCTGTATATATATTTTTTAAAATGCAATAAATGATTTTCAAACTACATAAATAGCCAATGAAAACGACATATGCGACAATGTTGTCGCACTTTTATTAATTTTTTAGTGAACGATCAAATCTTACCAAAAATAAAACAACCATAATGAAGTATTAAATTATAAGGTAATTAATTTAAACAAATGTTATAAATTTCAAACATTTTAATTGAAATGATAAACTGAGTCACTGCACAACGAAAAAACAGTAACTACTAACAATAACGAAGAACAATTAAAAAAAAAACTAAAAATATGTACATAGTTATGATAAACCCATAAATTCGAACTGAAAAAAAAAAACAATAATAGTAAAAAATAAAAATAATTCAAAATAGATTTTCGAAATGGAACCCTGCAGCCTGTACACATTTTTGTTGCCGAATTATTAATTGACGTATTGAATTACGGATACTCTGGGGATCGTTTCTAATAGTATTACAACAATGTATAATTCTATCAATTAATTGTTGTCGGTTATTAATATTCACTGCGTAAACTAGTTGCTTCAATCGTCCCCAAATATGGTAATCAACGGGATTGAAATCAGGGGATCTTGAAGGCCACGAAATAGGACCTGTACGTCCTATCCACCTGTTGCCATAAACATTATTGAGATGTTGTTTCACTGCCAGTAAAAAGTGTGGGGGTGCCCCATCATGCTGAAAATACATCCCTCGGATAGCAACGTTCGCGTTGGCAAGCAAATTCGGCAAAATATTTTGTAGAAAGTTCAAATAGACCTGACCTGTTAAAGGACCATCAAAAAAGTGAGGACCTACTAATTGGTTATTTATGACACCAATCCACATGTTAACCGAAAACCTTAACTGAGAACGACGTTCTCGAATAGAATGGGGATTTTCTTCTGCCCACACATGTTAATTTCGTGAATTATTTATCCCGTCTCTGGTAAATTAGGCTTCATCTATAAATAGTGTCCTGTATAGCGTTGGTCGATTATTGTTAATCCATCTACAACTAGATTGTAATTCCAACCTATCGATCTCATCTCCAGCATGTAGTCGCTGAACCATTTGAATGTGATATGGGTATAGATTATTTTTTTGTAAGACTCTACTTACTTTTGATTGAGTAACATTGAGTTCTCGACTTACTTGTCTAGTGCTTATTGTAGGGTTCATAGTAACAGCGTCCATAATGTCATCTTCCTGAGCTTCATCTACATGTCGCTCTGTTGTTCCACTAGGAAAAGTTCCATTTTCTCGCAAATAATTAAAAACTGACCCAAATGTTGGATGACTGGGAGTTCGACGATTAGGAAATCTCCTGCGATATTCTCTACTAGCAGCCCTACCATTCCCATTATATAATCCATAAACAAATATTATGTCTGCATATTCTGTGGTCGAAAACTGATGTGGCATTTTGAACGAAAGTAACAAAAGCTCTACCAAAACTAACACAATGTACTTAACGTAGATATGACAGAAGAAATATGTATTCTTGTACACATAAATAACAATTGATAATGACAATAATGACAATGGGTATAAAATATCAAGAAACGTCAAACGGTCAACGCCAACCTTCATTTTAAACTTTTTTAGATTTATTTTTATTTAGTACAGTTCATACAATGTATTATTATTTGACATAAAATTTTAATCTTTTACAATCAACAAAAACTAACACATACAAGAGGTTTGACTTTTTAATCAATTTAATTTAATATTTATCGAAAATAATGCCCCAATACGATCTATGAGTACAGTAAAGTGACAGTAAAGATGTTAACTTTCTACGTATTAGATTATGTTGTAGGAACTCATTTTAATTAAAATGTTTGAAATTTATAACATTTGTTTAAATTAATACCTTATAATTTGATACTTCATTATGGTTGTTCTATTTTTGGTAAAATTTGATCGTTCACTAAAAATTTAATAAAAGTGCGACAACATTGTCGCATATGTCGTTTTCATTGGCTATTTATGTAGTTTGAAAATCATTTATTGCATTTTAAAAAATATATATACAGGGTGTAATATTTAATACGAATCCCTAAATTAATTTTTCCAAAGCCAGTCCTGGAATTTTTTAGTTTAGCTAATACCAGTCGAATGCTTGATAGTAGTGTACTGTATCATGCAAAAATTAAAAAATCAAATGAGCCGTATAAACACTACAGTAAAATGAAATAAATGGTCAATTACACAAATCACCCTGTTAATTAATAAAGAAGAGGAGTTGACATTTTTTAGTGGCCACATGATATGCTCCTTGAGGGACTCTACATATGGTAGAAGTATGTAAAGTTCCTCATGACTCACCCTGTATATATATATATATTTTACTTAGATGTCGATGTAGGGATTATTGTTAGAAAGTCATGTACAGAACGCTCCTTTATGCTATAGTGTTGTATCTAGGTCTGTCTTCAGTTTATTACAGATTGAAATATCTGGGATGTGTCTTGATCATCATAGCTATTCGGACTTTTGAGACGGCTGCTCTGAAAAATTTATCCGATGTACATCCGTATCACTTTCGCAGGTTGCGCAGCCATGATATTCTACGCCTCCTCATGCTTCTTTTTCCTTGGATTTTTCCCTGCATAATCAGTTGGAGCAACTTGTATTTCTCTCCACGTGTAATCTTTCCAAGATATTCCAATTTTCTTGTTTCAATTGTATTTAAAATTTTTATTTCTTTATTCATTCTTCTCAGAACCTCTTTGTTTGTGACGTGTTTTGTACAAGATATTTTCAGAATTCTTCTATAAACCCAGAGCTCGAATGATTCCAGCTTTTTCATTGATGTCGTATTTAAGGTCCAAGATTCCATTGCATAAAACAAAGTCAAAAAAACATAGCATCTCGCCAATCTAACTCTTAGTTACAATTTTAAATCCCATGTACATAGCACTCTTCTCATTTTGTTCAGCTAGACTTTTTAGGATTTCTATAGGAAGCATGTCCAGGTCTTTCCTCACTCTTCATTGATTTAAATGCGTGTAATATTTCTTCTTTTGTAATATATGGACCTATTTCTAATGACGTAAGTTCTATGTGCTCCAGATCTCCTCTTTTATTTCGTCGATATATTCTGCCCATCTTTGTACTTTCTCGTCTATCTGTGTTATAGTAGTCCCGTGTCTATCCAGAATTGCACCAGTGGGATTTTGTTTTCTTAGTCCTGCCAGTTCTTTAACTTTTTTGTGTAGGTTAAAGAGATTATATTTATTTTGAAGGTCTCCGATCTCTTTACATTTCTCTTCAAAGTATTTTCTTTTGTCTGCTTTATCATCTTCCTGATCTCGTGGTTTATCTCTCTGTATTTATTGTTGTCTTTGTTTTTAAATTGTCTTTGTTGTTCCATC